TCCCCACCCCCTCCCTGATTTTTATGCACCAAGGGCAGGGCTGCCCCTCTGTCAAGATTTGGGTTGTGTTTGTAAATCAGGAAAGAGATATTGCAGAGGGAGAAGGGGATAACGCCTAACAAGAAGGTTGGACTCCAGCCAAGGAAGATACGAGTTTCAGTTTTTCATTCAGTCGTGAAGCTTATGCGGTGACCTTGGAGCAGACTGTCTCTCGCCCTTTCTCATGCTGCCTAACAGGCTTTCTGTGTTGCTTTTGTGAAGATAAAAATGAGCCTGGGTTTCGTAGTAGAGAAAGGGTGGGCTACAGATGTAAATACTTCGCAATCCATTAATATGCTGTAGTACGGAGATACAAATGGATTTTAAACCAGAATTATTTCTTTTGGGCATAATAAACTTAAAGATGGAAAAACAACTCCAACACATCGTTATACACATATTGACTGCAGCTCGTATAGTATATGTGCAATGTTGGAAGAGTGAAAATATTCCCACAAATGATATGATTATGTGCAAAATCTTGGAATGCGCAGAAACGAACAAACTTACATTAGAATTAAATGACAAGGAGGCAACAGAATTTTATGAAATTTGGAATAAATGTTATAATTGGCTAGGACAGAGAAAGAAAAAGACATTGATGTACATAAAATGTAAATAAGATGTAAAGAATGCTTAAAATGTAGAGTACTGTTCTGTTAAAAGAAAAGATTTATGTTTATGTATTTTAAGTTTGTTTTGGTGTATGGTGTATGGTGAAAAATAAAAAAAATGATACAAAATATGCTGTAGTACAGAGGTCTCCAACCTTTGGGGCACGAGGGACTAGTTCCACGGAGAGAGGTTTTTCCGCAGACCGGAGGGTATGTAGTTTTGTGTGCTGCCTGCATCCCGCGGATGGGGCTTTGCTTGTTTGTGCGGACCAGTTGCTGGCCTGCCGTACTGGTCCACGGGCCGGGGGTTGGAGACCCCTGCTGTAGTAAACCTTTTCTGATGTGAATGTGAGCTCAGAATGTGGGGAATTGCAGAGCCCTAAACATGTATCGATATGCCATCATCTTGTTGGACCATGTACAGGCAGTCCTCAACTTATGACAGTTCATTTAGTGACCGCTAGAAGTTTCAATGGCGCCGAAAAAAAAGTGACTTAGGACCATTTTTCACATTTACGACCATTGTGCCTCCCCCCCCATAGTCAAATGATCAAAGTTCAGACACTTGGCAACTGACTCATATTTATGACGGTTGCAGTGTCCTGAGGTCATGTGATCCCCTTTTGAGATCTTCTGACAAGCAAAGACAAGGGGGGAAGCCAGATTCACTTAACAATCAGGCTACTAACAACTGCAGTGATTCACTTAACAACCATGGCAGAAAAAGGTTGTAAAATGGGGCAAAATTCACTTAACAACTGTCTCACTTAGCAATAGACACATGGGCTCAATTGTGGTTGTACGTCAAGGACTTCCTGTGGAATGGAGGATTTGTTCCTGGCACAATGTTAAAGCTATTCAGATTGCTACTTTCTGGTCTTCAAATGCTATATAAGGTCACACAAGTATTTTAAATGCCTTCTGTGTTTTACTGTTTGTATCTGTTATATAGTTATTGAAAGTTTTTTTTTAATTTAGACTATTATACTAATTTAAATATATTCTGTCTCTGTAATGCAAGAGATTCTGGACTTGGAGAATAATTCTGTTATTGTAGTAATAGAATCAGTTCTTTGAAAATAAAGAATAGAATAGAATAGAATAGAATAGAATAGAATAGAATAGAATAGAATAGAATAGAATAGAATAGAATAGAATATGAAATGAATGGAATGGAATAAAACAGATTGTAGAACAGAATAGAATAGAATAGAATAGAATAGAATAGAATATTCTAGGTGGGTTGGACTAGATGACCTCCAAGACCCCTTCCACCATCACCATCACCATTGTATTATTATTATTATTATTATTATTATTATTATTATTATTATTATTATTATTATTTGCCAAATGTGGTTAGATACATAAGGAATTTGTCTCTGGTACAGATGCTCTCAACATACATACAAACAACAGAGTGGTAACTCATAGATAATAAATCATATGATACAATCATAAATCATGATAGAAACAACTGTTAAATCCTAACATATCAACAGGAGAAGGAATAGGAAAGATGTGAGGTGAGAAAGATGAGAAGATGAGAAGGATAATAGCAATACAGCCCTACTACATGGGCAAATAGCTTTAGGCAAAAGACATTGCTGTGGGGTTTAGGGGTTTAGCAGAGGGATGGCATGGGGGAAGAAACTAACAAGAAAATTAAGAATAAGGAGGGAGAAGATTCAATGGCATTATAAGTGCAAGTAAAAGAATAACACAGAAAAGGCATGGAGGACCTGTGGCCTTTAGATGTAGTTGAACTTTGCCTGCCAGCATCTTCTGCCACCATAGACAATGGCGAGAGCTGTTCAAAGTTGTAATTCAGGGGAATTACATCCTCCCTTGGCAGGCAAATTAATTAATGATTCTGCTTGCCAGAGAAGCAGATTACTAAACATTTTTTTTTAAAAAAATGTCCCCAGCATGCAAAGATCAACAACCACTTGCAAATGGGAAAGAGCTTTGTACTGAAATGAATGTTCAACATGCCTATATATATATAGGATAGAGTGAACCTGGAAAGAGATAATGAAGAAAAGAACTGGGAACAGGTACCCAGAAGATAGAGGGTGTGTGCTTTTAATATGGATAAGCACTTCCTAAACAGGAATACAATACAATACAATAGAACAATTAATCAGTGGAAAGGCTTACCTTCAGAAGTCGTGGGTGCTCCCTCACAGGAGGCTTTTAAGAAGAGAGTGGACAACCCTTTGTCTGAAATGGTAAAGGGTCTCTTGCTTGAGCAGGGGGTTGGACTAGAAGACCTCCAAGGTCCTTTTCAGCTCCGTTATTCTGTTATGTGGTTTGTTTCTAAATCAGATTTAGAAGCTGTATTGTGCCAAAATCTGCACTAGGATCTCTCAGATGTTTCCTTCTTCTGTGGAAGATGTTTCCGTTTGAGAATGTTTGAGAACTTGCTTCTTGTTTTTCTTGGAGAGCTTGATTGTAACTTGGAAGTGACGAAGGTTGCTGTCACCGCTGGCGATCCATACCATATTTTCCTTCTGAATCCCCACTGCGCACAGTACGATTTTCCTCCTGATATATTCCCTTGAGATTTAATAGGACCCTAAGAACCCAGGGAGGGTGCAGATTGTTGAAGACACAGCTGTCCCTCCCTCTCCCCAAAGTCAAGCCATTCAAACATACCCTTTGGTCACCGTGTAGGAAAACAAATGAAGTGTCAATTTCTCCATCCAATTGCTATGGCAGTCATTTCAAAAGTGAATTCCCTTCCATTCAACTGAATGTGTTGAAAAAAAAATGCAGCAGCAATGTTCAGTGTGGTGCTCGTTGGAATGCTAAGGATTAATGTTCATGAGAATCTCTCAACTCACTTAAGTCAACCAGAATTGTAGGAGATTGACCTCGTGTTCCCTGGTAAATATCTGGAGGAAAGTAGAGGAGTGGTAAATCAAAACACCAGAAGGCATCAGGCTGGAGACCTTCGCTTTTTACAGAACATATAACTGCAGTTTTATTGGGGCTCTGATGGTGTCACTTACGCATTCATTTATGTCAGTCCTTCAGAGCTCTTGCATTCTCCCACTGAATGGGGATGATGAGAATCATAGCCCAACATATCCCTAGATCAGTAACTCTGTTGTTGTGATGTGCATAAAAGATGACAAAATTATCATGAGGTAGAATCTGACTGCTGGGTTCCCGAAGTGGAAGACAGCTTAAAGCTGCTAAGATATAGGTACAGGACATACCTCAAACTGTAGGAGAAGAAGTAGCAGAACCTGGAGGTGGAGTCAAAAGAGGGATCAGCCTAGAATCCCTATGTAGCCACAAGCAGACTCAATCCATCCCCCGCATCCCCTGAATTCTATTGATCTTATCTAATTCCAAGCAGGTGCTAAGCATTGGTTGAGAAGATTCCTGGGCATAGGCTTTTAGCAATAAATCAATTTATTTGGCCCTTCACAGTGGTCCTGGTCTTTAGCACCTGACACAAACAAAAAGATGAGATTAAAAAAGGGGAGCTGTCTTTCTAGAACTGCTTTGACTTCAAACAACTTGCAGTAGAAATAAAAAAACTTTTGTTTAAGCGTGTTAAATCAGAATTGGTAAGGATCTGAGGTGTTTTGAAATAAATTCTGTGAAGAGGTAATCCTTTTCCTCCGTCTTGTGCAAGCACAAAGACATATATCTTAGACCAAATGGATGAAATGTCAGGTGTCATTTCCTTGAAAGAGATTAACAGGTGCAATCGTATGCAGAAATAAATCCTGCCCAATTAAATCCGAACGGGGCCCTGAAAAGGCGCATGGTTGCAGCTGAACAATGCGAATAGGATAGTTTTAGAAAGGTAATGTTTAACTCTGCCTTTCTCTAAATCCATGCACGCACAAACCTCCACGCATAGACATCTTAAAAATAAGATGATTTGCTATAGCAGACGGCAGCCTGTGGTTTCCAGATATTAACAAGAACACTTGCTTACTTTGGCTCCTGCTTATACACGTGCAAGGAGTTTGTGAGGAGGATCACAGGAACTCAGCCTGTGCCTTTTCTATGCAAAGATATTTGAGATCAGCCCCATAGGTTCATGTCCATCGGCCCCCAGAATCATCCCCAAATGGTTTGCCTTGTCTTTCTAAGATACTTCCTTGCTTTATCTTCTCCACTTTCACTTGGAATGTGACAAGGCAAGGAAGGCTTGTAATGCTGGACACAGAATCTAGTCGTTTATGATGTCAGGCTGATGTGGAATACATTCTTCAGAAAAGCCAGGACACTTGTTTGGCCTCCTCTCTTTGTATGAGTGTGAGGGAGTGCAGACACAGATGCCCTCCCTGGATGGCTGTGATGACTGTCAGCCTCAGAGCCACACCCACTTCTCCCCAGAGACATAAAATGAATGAACAGGTTGGACTGTGAAGCGGTGTTTCCAAAGTCCTGTAGCTTCTCTTTCCTGACACCTTCCCTGGAGAGAAAGGGGCAAGGCAGCCACAGTCATGGTGCGCCCCAGCCTGATGGCGAAGAATACCGACATGCGCTGGCGCTTACCTTTGGTTTGCCTCCTCTGGGAGGTGGCCATGATCATCCTTTTTGGGATTTTCGTGCGCTTCAACCCGGAGGCTAACGTGGCTGATTGGGAGAAGGAAAAACAGCAAAGGAACGTCACCGATATTGAGAATGAATTCTACTTCAGATACCCCTGTGAGTATAATGATGCGAGGCAACAATCCAGCCTTGTGTTTATTTGGCACATCTTTTGGGTAGTGCTATAACTGCAGAATTCTGAATGGTAGAAGATCATATTTGCACATGGAATCATCATGCTACATAGATCTCCAGATGAATGTCATAATATGTAGTAGCATAATCAGTCTGTGTCTGTGCTTACTGGTTTTATAAAATTAGCTCTGGATTTCATGACTTTACAGGGGATTTCTTTGTTTGATTGGGCTGCACAACTTTTCCTGGGCTGCCTTTGATGGCATCCTGGACCATATTTGAAAATGTAGTGGCTGCAACTACAGCAAGGGCTTTAATTTGATTTCACTTTGCTTGCTTGTGCACTGAAGCCGGATCAGATATAACTAATAACATTTGTTTCCATCCCTCTTTAAATGAAATAACTTTCTCTCTCCTTGCCATGTTCAAAGTGACAATTTTGAAGGTTTTGGAGATGCCTCCAAGAGTCTGGGAAGAAATCTATCATCCTTAGAAGTGCTATATTTCTACTAGAAATGAAAATGTGGATTGTTTCACTTACAATTTGGATTGTTTCACTGACTTCAAATGTCTAACACAACTTGCTCCTGTTTTATGTATGGATGCAATAGATATTTCTTCACTATCTGTGTGAGACAAGCCTTCACTTGGAGTTCTCTACCTTCCCTCATTTACTGAGTGAGGTTCTGAATGCCCTCCTTAAAAGTCCTAAACTGAAAAATTCCTTGCTATCTGTGCTTAGGTAGGGTTAGTCTGGAGGCAATAATTGAAAAATCAAGATGCTCAAACCATAACTCAAATGCAGCCTTTCCCAAAAGACTCTTCATATGGAATAGGTATCTTAAGAGGTGATTGATGATTGAACTGATTTTTTTTATTGTTAAAAAAAAAACCCTCTGCTTTTTCAGTGGGTGATCCCATTTCCACTGTGGATCAATTTGGAAATTGGACAGTGTTTCCCAAGCTCAGCAACTTTATGCTAGCTGGGGAATTCTGGAGCTGAAGTCCACATATCTTAAAGTTGCTTAGATCGAGAAACACTGAAATAGGGAAAGGAGGGCTGAACAAAAAGCATATTTTTTTAAAGAGATAATAAGTAACATCGAATGTTTATGGAGTGCAGAGAAGCTATTGCCTTTATTAGAATTCCAGGCAATCACTTTTATGAATCTTGTCCAACTGTCTCACATTCTAGTCTTGCAATTTGATATTTTTTTTTAAAGGTGGTCCTTTGGTCCTCTCCCTGCTGTTAAGCTGGAATGCTCTCTGCTTTTCCATTTCCAACACAAAGCTATACTGGCATGGCATTGGTTATCCCCATTTTCATTCCCTATCATATCTATGGAGAGTCTCCATCATCCAGGACATGTTGTCCCAAAAGTGCTTTTCCAAACGGCAAATGGACTTTCTTTTTTTTTTCTTGAAAACATTTTACTTCTCATCCAGTTCTGAAGAAGCTTCTTGGATGAGAAGCAAAATGTTTCCAAGGGGAAAAAAAAAAACAAGAAAGTCCAGTTGCCTGTTAGAGAAGCATTTTTGGGGTCTCTATCTTGCTTCTATTACCTCTTTTGAGCCACTGCCAGACCTCTGATTTCTCTGCAAATAACGGGTGACAAAGCTTAAACAATTTGAAATACCTTAAGAGGTCCTTGGCGTGTGGGAAATGTGGGAAAAGACCCTGAATCTGGAGAAATGCTTTCTCTTTATAGCTGATTCTTGCCTTGGTCCCTTATGTCACAATTCTCATTATAGCTACTTAAAACTCTAGGCAGGGCTTGCAGTCTTGCAGATGGATGCATGCACCTTGGGCTGGCTGAGCAAAATTTGATTGTTGTGCAGAACTGTTGTGTGAAAAGACATTGCCACTGGCACTTAATTTTGGGAAGGGTTTCGTTTGGCTTTCACAAGCTAGAAGGGTTTAGAAATTCATGCTCTGGACGTTAAGTCAAGTGAGGAGGTTGAACTTTTAGGCAGGGGTTTGGAACCAGAAGGCAAATGGCATTTTCCTAGCAGATCACTGGATGTTTTTTTTAGGAGAATATCACACTCACCATATTGCAAAGATAGTCAAGAATTGCACTTTGCAAATGATGGTGGTGAGGAAACCGGAAGTCCCAAAATTAGGTAAAGAGGGCCAGTATGCTGCAATGGTTAAGGCACCAATCTGGAAGCTGGGAGACTGTGAGTTCTAGTCCTGCCATAGGCACGAAGCCTGGTAGGTGACCTTGAGCCAGTTCTTCTCTCTCATCCCTAGGAAGAAGAAGGCGTATCATAACTAAAAGCAGTAGACTCAGTGGCGGGATTCAGCCGGTTCACACCAGTTCAACAGAACCGGTAGCTAATTCTTTGTTGCCCAGGCCCAGAACAGACTTCCGGAAGCGGCATCCACACAGAGAACCGGTTGTTCACATATTTGAATCCCACCACTGAATAGATGAATAGTGAAAACAATGTATCAGTAGAATGTCTTGGCTTCAGAAGTTGGGGCTGCTCCATCGCTGGAGGATTTTAAGAAGAGATTGGACAGTCATTTGTCTTAAGTGATATAAAGTCTCCTGCTTGAGCAGAAGGTTGGACTAGAACAGGGGTAGACAACCTCGGCTCTTTTATGACTCATGGACTTCAACTCCCAGAATTCCTGAGTCAGCTGCTGACTCAGGAATTCTGGGAGTTGAAGTCCATGAGTCATAAAAGAGCCGAGGTTGACTACTCCTGGACTAGAAGATCTCCAGCATCCCTTCCAACTCTGTTATTCAGTTATTCCTTCGGTTACTGGTATTGCTTAAAATTGATTTATGGAATAATTAGCATTCCTGGTAATGAACTTCAAACATCCTGTCGGTCTACCAAAGAATAACAATTCTCATGCTTGCTGGGAATTATGGGGCCTTTGGTAAACAGGGATTTTCCTTTGCTGTGGGTAAGTATTGACATAAAATGCTTTACCCATAAAATGCTTTCTCAGGAGCTGTTTCCCATTTCGCAATCTTCATGAAGTCTGGTTCTTCGTTATTAACCAAGCTGCAGTCTTAAAGCCCTTAGAGGAAATTGCCTGTTTCCCACTCAGATTTCATAAACAGAACACCTCACTCCATTAAGCACAGGGTTTTGATCAGAATCGGCTGGTTCCATCAGTCCCTGGAGAGTTTTAAGCTGCCCAGGTCCACAATCATCATCATCCTGGATTAAACCAAGCAAGGGTTTAATCATTAAACTTCTTTCAGAGAGCAGTGATGGCATTCCAGTCTAAATCCTCTTCTTTCTTCATGAGTCCACATATAAATATCAGCTTCTGGGTTAGGATGATCTATTTACTGTGCCAGATCAGAGGACACAGAGCTCTGTGCAAGCTTTTGAGTTCAGTAGAATGCTCTGTTAGGTAGGTAGGTAGGTAGGTAGGAAGAAAGGAAGGAAGGAAGGAAGGAAGGAAGGAAGGAAGGAAGGAAGGAAGGAAGGAAGGAAGGAAGGAAGGAAGGTTAAATATCTAATTATTCACCCAGGATGGTTCTATCCTTAATCCAACAGTTGCTCTATCCTTAATCCAAACAAATTTCTTTGATACCCCCAAATGAGAAAGAGAGATCAATGAAAGTTCACATATATTCTACTCTGAAAAATATTTAAAATGTGGTGGTGGCGATAATCCAGAACCTGGTGGCAGTAAGAAGGAGAAATGTCAACAGAATACCAGAGTTGGAAGGGACCTTGGAGGTCATCTAGTCCAACCCCCTGCTCAGGCAAATGGCTGTCCAGTCTCTTCTTAAAAACTTCCAGTGTTGGAGCATTCACCGCTTCTGGAGGCAGGTTGTTCCACTGGTTAATTGTTCTAACTGTCAGGAAGTTTCTCCTTAGTTCTAGGTTGGTTCTCTTCTTGATGAGTTTCCCTCCGTTGCTTCTTGTCCTGCCTTCAGGCGCTTTGGAGAATAGCTTGATTCCCTCTTCTTTGTGGCAACTCCTGAGATACTGGAGCACTGCTATCATGTCACCCCTTGTCCTTCTCTTCATTAGACTTTCATCTTTCATGAAGTGGGGTGCTGTGGAAGTTGCAGGCCTCCAAAGAGAAGTTGGTGTAGGGTGAAGGACAGTAATGGCATTGGAATTTCTGTCACTAAGCGATGCGGTTTTAAAGCTTGACCTTAAGTGACCACATCACCTAACAGTGACTATCCTGGCAGTCTCAGTTGCAGTCATCAACTGAATCCCACTGGTTGTTAAGTAAGGACCCACCATGATCCAAGGCATTCCCAGTTTGGTCCCTCACATCCCTGAACCTTGGTAAGATAAGGGACTACTTCCTCTTTAACTCCTTCCATCTGCCTCTCTCAGGTTTCTCTGTTTTTCTATCTGATGCTCGGGATGCTTGAAAATGTCATTCAAATTTCCCTTGCTGATGCAAGCTTCCTGACTTGACAAAACATGCTACAGCTACTCCTCCAATTTTTTTGTGTGACACATCTGCCTTCTGCAACCTTCCTGGCTTGTCCACACTTCACAGTCTGAAGAAATACAACAGGAATGAAAAATCTCCTTCCTGATAAGATTGCAAAGCAGGAAGTGGAGCCAGGAAAGTTGCAGAATGCTGGAGGGATGATTGTGCGATGAAATGAATAAGCATTCACACACTCATTCTTCTGAGATTTCATAACTAAAGTAAGCTGCAGCAATACATTGCCCGTCTGTGAATTTCTCCCCAAATGTTCTTTTGGACTGTGAAAAAAAGATCTGTGAAATTTAATCTAAAAGTTTTTTTAAAAAAATAACAAAGCCAAAACAGAACAAACTGTAGAAACGAAACTAATTTTATCCTGTTGTTTTCATGAAACCTGTTGCAAAGGGTGAGTTTTTAACCTCCTGCAGTGAAAATATTTCTCAAATCTATCAGCTTGGAATGGAGCGATGCATGTATGTGTAAGTAGGGGAAGAGGTAGATTCCTAAGCCAGGAAGAAACACAACACCCATCTTCAATTTGCTGCCTTGCCTTCGGCATTTCCTGGACCACCAATAATTGCCAAGTTTCATTTTACAGCACCGGAACAGATTCCTATCTTGAGGATATATTGAGCAGCAAAGTTGGTTGAAGATCTATGAAGTTGTTTGTCCTGGAGACAAAATATCTCTGCACCACACTGCCTGGGGTTTAGGATGAAAGTTGCTATTTATCCTATAGACATAGAGAACATTTCCAGCAGATCACTCTTGGACTTTGAAGTTTTTGACCCCAAAAATGGTGGCACCAGCATTTTGTTTTCCATTAGAGGTTAGGCCAATATTAATTGTGTTCATGCAATAAATTTACTCCTGGATATCAAATTCACTCTTTTTGTGGGATGCCACAATGCATTAAGCCATAAACTAATCGAAGGGGCTGAATTCACACAACCTGCTAAGCCACACAAATAATAAGTAAGTTTAACATTAAACTAAGCTTTAGTATGTTGTGTGAATGACTCTGCTAGAGAACTGCACTTGGCCTGGTTAAACCTATTGTGTGAACATAATTTCTATCTTCCTTCTAAATTCGAGGCAACTGATTTGGAACTGATAATGCATGCACTTCACAGCAATCCTGTGTGGTATGTTGAATGAAAGAAAGGGAAATGGAAGACAATTCAAAGATCAGCCAATAAAAGTCATGACTGACCAGCAACTGGACTCAGATCTATGTGCAACCAGTGTTACCCCTTGAGGAATCCTAGCTTGTCAAAAGTTAGTTGTGCACTATATTCTAGTCATTGTATCAACCAGCATGGAATGCTGGGAGACAGTCTTCTGTAGACGTATTTTCCTATTAATTCAAAATTAATTGTATTAATAAGAGAAAACACTTTACCTTTGCACTCAAGCAGTGTTGTTCAGAATCTTTCAGCTTTTAAGGAACTTTGTTCATACTGCTTTATCTCTCAGAATATGCTCAAAGCCTCCATTACAGAACATATGTATTGTAGACGGTGCTATGATGGATCCTAGGGAAAATGCTTATGATATATACTGGCAAAAACTGCAGATTCTGAATCAGAATTTCTCAAAGTTGACAACTTTAAGATGTGCGAAGTTCAACTCCCACAATTCCCCATCAACACACTGGCTGAAGAATTCTGGGAGTTGAAGTCCATACATCTTAAAATTGCCAAGGTTGAGAAGTACTCTTGTAGACCATAAGTGAGGAACAGTCATGTATAAACTAGCGGTCAGCATTGAGTTAGGTCAGGGGTAGGCAACCTTGGGTCTTTTATGACTTGTGGACTTCAACTCCCAGAATTTCTGAGCCAGCCATGCTGAGGGAAAGGGAGAGGCTTCCATGCTGAGCCATGCTGGCTCAGGAATTCAGGGAGTTGAAGTCCACGAGTCATAAAAGAGCCAAGGTTGCCTACCCCTGAGTTAGGTGGTCGTTAGGCATGCAGATAAGTGTGGAATGAGAGTGAAAGTCCATATAATGAAGCCTCTTTCTTTATTTCAGCTTTCCAAGATGTCCATGTGATGATTTTCGTGGGCTTTGGCTTCCTCATGACCTTTCTTCAACGCTATGGCTTTGGCGGTGTTGGCTTCAACTTTCTCCTCGCTGCCTTTGGGATCCAGTGGGCTCTCCTGATGCAGGGCTGGCTCCATACCTTTCAGCATGGGAAGATACTCATTGGAGTGGAAAGGTACGATGGCATGCTTGGACATACAAAAAAAGAGTTTTTGGGTAGTAGGATACATGACGAGCATGAAACTATAACAAAGGTAGATTAAATTTGTGGCTTGGGAATGCAAAGATGTGCATTAGTGGGGCCGTGATGGTGTAATGGTTGGAATGCAGTACTGCAGGTTACTTCTGCTGAGTGCCAACTGCCAGCAGTTTGGCAGTTCAAGTCTCACTGGCTCATGGTCGACTTAGGCTTCCATCCTTCTGAGGTTGGTAAAATGAGGACCCAGTTGTTGGGGGCAATATGCTGACTTAGAGAGGGCTATAAAGCACTGTGAAGTGGTATATAAGTAAGTGCTAGTGCTGTTGATATAGTTTGAGCTCAGCTCAGAATATAGGTATTGGGGCCTGCAAGCCCATGCTGCCCTACTCTACTACAAGCTAAGACCATTATTGTAAATTTTGCACTTTGGATGATGGAAAATGTCCATCAGATCAAAGCTTCTGGGCGGCCCTCTTTGACAAATTGGAAGAGTACTATTAGATTCCTTGTCAGTCATCCCAAAGCTAAACAAATCAATTTCTTCCATCCTCATTGTTCTGATTTGACCCTCTCCCAATTTGCCGGAATACTTTTTAGCAAAGAAAAGAATAGATTTGGGACTTTCCATGATTTAGAAATTCACCGTCTCTTGTTGCAACCTAATTGGATGATCTAAAAGTCTAGGTTAGGGACAGATCACAGTGGACAAAATCTACTTATGTCATCCCCAAGGGTCAACCATGACTCCAAGGGCATATAATCAAACTTTATGTGTCATTTTTATAGTCATGTCTCACTGCTGGTTCATGTGATCAGTTACAATTCCAAGATGCTCATTGTTGTGTTGCTTCAGTAGCCTTCTCTGACTCTCTTATCTCTTCCTTCTCCTCTCAGCCTGATCAATGCAGATTTCTGTGTGGGTTCTGTTTGTATTGCCTTCGGTGCCATTTTGGGCAAAGTCAGTCCCGTCCAGCTGCTCATTATGACACTGTTTCAAGTGACCCTCTTCTCCGTCAATGAATATATCCTGCTTGACCTGCTCCATGTAAGGTTCTTCACCTTGGTTCCAGAGATGCTTCTCTGTCTTAATATCGATGTGACAAAGTTGCCTTGTGTATTTGGTTATCACTTACCATCCTGAATAATTCTGTGCAGATGCAAGACAAAGAGGACAATGGGTTTACTATATGCCTTCCAATACAGTCAGAGTGTGTCTTACTGTGGTGGAATGTAAACTGGATTCCCAGGAGGGAGGGACAGTTTGGAACGTTTGGTCAGAAGGAAGAGATTTAAAACAGCTCCTCCCCAGAGAGTCTCACTTTTAGGTCTATAGGTGAGGAACAAATAAAAGAAGCTACTCGGAAGTAACTCCATCTATTGTTCTTGGTTCTCGGGAACTGACACAAACTTCCTTCAGCTCCAGGCTTACTCTAAGCTTTGCATGGCTGGGCAGGAGAGACATTTCTTTAAGCAAACCTCCTGATACCAGATCAGTCTATTGCCAGAACAAGAGATGGGTGAAGCCAGTCCTTCTGCTTCAGAGAGATCATCTTCTAGCTTATTATAACACACAGCCAGGAGGAAGAAACTCAGAAATTTGAACTCCAATTTTGGCACGTCTTGCACTTGATGCATGCAATCACTTGACATCTTTTGTCATGAATGCCCTACGTGGCTTTCGTAAGGGGTCAAACTTTGATAGAGGTTTTGTGCCCTTTGAGGTCTCTTCTTACAATTGAGAAATACACATGAAGTAGGTTCCAAAAGTAGAGGAATACCGTGGTCCAAGGGGGGAAAAGAATTTGTAATTTCTAAGGGGCAAAATGTGTGCCTTCAATTCCTGCAAGACCGCTCCCTCTTTTGTTTCCTAATAACCTACAACATTAGCCTGTTTGCTCGTGGTCCTTGATGGCTGCAGAAATGGGGTCTCAGTGTCAGTGTGGCTTACTAGCTACCTTTTTTTTACACCCTTGCTATACCATATCTTTCCCCAAGCAGGTGCTCTCTAGATGCATTGGTTAACAATTTCCAGAATCTCCCACCAGCATATTTAAGAAAGCAGGTTGGAATTTTGCAGCCCAAATGTATCTAGAGCTCTCCAGGTTGTGGAGATTAATTTAATTTAATTTAATTTAATTTAGTTAATCTCTTGCTCAAAACCCCTGCAGAACTTCCCAGGTATCCAATGAAAAACTCACAACTATATATGCACCAGAAAAGTATTTGCTAAGACTTCAGATTTTCTGCAGCTTTAAGAAGGGTAGCAAAAAAGAGGCAGGGCTTTCTTGGTGATGGCCCCTCTGCTAAGAGAAGCTTGCCTGGTTTCCACCATGTTACTTTATCAGTTGTCTTGGATGAAGGTTGCTCTTTCAGGCTCCTAAAACCTCAAGAGCTGTTGTTTTGTTTGCTACATTTCACATTTCATTCTGATAGACCTTTTTGTGTTGCGTACATTCTATTTTTGAGGGAACAGATGGAGCTGTTGTGTTCTTTCACTTGGGTTTGTTTTGATTGCAATATTCTTGTATTTTATTATTACTAGATGATAAGTTAAGTTGCTTAATGCCCAGAGCAGAGGGAAATAACACGTTGCTGGTCAAGGTAGCACTTAATGGGAGACCATTATATTACATTCCCCCCCCCCAAATACCCAATATGTATAAGGGAGGGAGCAGGGCCCATTGCTGGTTTCTTACTCAGGAGCCATAAGATGCAGAACTCTTGTGAGCTTGGAATGTGGTTGCACAAGTAGGGCACACTTTGATTGAATGTACATAAAAGCCCCTGAGAGGAACAGATTAACCATCAGATAAGGGGATTGAATGAGATTGTGGCTTGAGGGTCTGAATGGAAAAGCAGACTTAAAATAATATTACCAGCCTTGAGGAATGCAGAGGAACCTCCTTGATTTCAGTTCAACATGTTCTTTTTGCAAGCAAAGGAGCATCTTGTTTGCTAAATTTATACAGTTCCTTCTCTACTCTCAGTCAGTTGAAGGGACAACAAAATTGAACAAATAGGACATCCAAAACTATTCTTCCACTCATCCTAAAACCAGAGATAAGAGTTGTTCCTCTGAAGAACAAAGTAAATACATTCTTGGAAGTAGCAATTGCATGTGCTTTTTGTTCAATGTTTCACTTTTGTGTTTGTTGGAAAATACATTTTTTTTTTATCTCATTGTTCAGCCAGAAGGACTCCCAGGGTATCTTTCAGATAAGATAGTCCTTGCCTGCTGGCTCTGTGGGTTGTGTAACTAAGCACAATGAAAAGTCTGCTACTTCTTTGTCAAGACTCCAGTTTCTTGCATTCTCAATATGGGTAGCAGTGATGGGAGTTGTAGTGCAGCCCATTTCCTGGGCACAGGTAAAGAAATGCTTAAGTTAGAGATATCGTCTGGCTGAAGAACCAGAAGTCCACGTCTATGGAGATTCTCAACCATCTAGGTCATGGTTTTTCCTAAGGCGCTTTCTTGTTGTTTTTTTTCCCCCTGAAAACATTTCACTTCTCATCCAAGAAGCTTCTTCAGTTCTGAACTTCACCGAAGGAGCTTCTTGAAGGAGAAGCAAAATGTTTTCAAAGAAAAACAACAACTCAAAGTCCAGTTGCCTTTTGAAAAACACCTGTGGGACATCCAGAAGTAGAATTTTCAGATGCCCAAAGGAACAAATGTTCTATTTAGTTTGTTAAACAACTGAGTTCAAGTTTCAATTTGTGATCTACTGATTCTCTGTAGAATAAACCAACTAATTCTGGGTAGGCTTCAAACGCTTATCTATCGCTGCAGGTGAAAGATGCTGGTGGATCCATGACAATTCATACGTTTGGTGCTTACTTTGGCCTAACGGTGACCTCTATTTTGTACCGGCCCAACTTGGAGCAGACCAAAGAAAAGCAGGAATCTGTTTACCATTCAGACCTTTTTGCCATGATTGGTGAGTTGTGGTTCCTTCTCCCTGTTACACAGGAGAACCTGCACTTTCTGAGAAAGTGATCAGGATTCGTGAAAAGAGGCCCAGGCTATTGGCAAAAAAACCAGTCTTTCCTTCTACTTTATTTCTGTTCAAGATAGCCCAAGTGAGGCATTTAAAGCAGAAAACATTGTGAAGGTATTGTGGACTTTGAGCTTTTAATCCACAAAGCACAAAGCTATGCTTGGCCTGTCATTGTTTTGGAAATCTGGAAACATCTTTTGAGCCTTGTAATCAAACTGAAAGGAATGTAGAAGCTTCTTAATGAGTTCTTTCTAAATTACCCATTTATGGAGGTGCAAACATCTCATTAAAATTACGGTGGGGAGCTTGATTTCCTGGTTTTGCTATAACAAGCTTGAGGTCCTATTTTGGATGTTTTTTAAAAGGCATACAGATATACCCATAACTCTTTCTGTACAAGAAGCCAGTAAATATGCTATGATACAGATCAATATTAGTGACCGATTAGTAAGTTATTTTTCCTGTCCTGTCTCCAATTGGGATAGAACAGGGGTCTCCAACCTTGGCAACTTTACGACTTGTGGACTTCAACTCCCAGAATTCCTCAGCCAGCCATGCTGGCTGAGGAATTCTGGGAGTTGAAATCCACAAGTCATCAAAGAGCCAAGTTTGAAGACCCCGGGCTAGAAAGTGGTCAGGGGCTTAGGTACACCCCTCGTACTTTATCCAAGAGAATGAGCTGTCTGCAATACCTGGTCTGCCCTTATAAAAAGCCAGTTTTTAACTACCATTGTAGGCACCTTGTTTTTGTGGATGTACTGGCCCAGCTTTAACTCCGCCATTTCCAATCATGGGGACGCACAGCACCGGGCAGCCATCAACACCTACTGTTCACTTGCTGCGTGTGTCCTGACTTCAGTGGCCTTTTCCAGTCTTTTGCAAAAGAGGGGAAAGTTGAACATGGTGAGTAAAGTCAGGGAAGATGTTATGGTTTTCCCTTCCTTCCTTCCTTCCTTCCTTCCTTCCTTCCTTCCTTCCTTCCTTCCTTCCTTCCTTCCTTCCTTCCTTCCTTCCTTCTCTTTCTCTTTCTCTCTTTCTCTTTCTCTTTCTCTCTCTCTCTCTCTCTTTCTCCCCCTCCCTCCCTCCCTCCCTTCCTCCTTCTTCCTCCTTCCTTCTCCTTCCCTCTTCCTCCTTTCTCCTCCATAATAGGTCAGAAAACCCATTGTGCTAATCATAGTAAGATTGCAGTTTAAAAGCCTGCTGCACTGTATCGAAGAATATCTGTTAGATGCGAACACAACCCTTGAGCAAAAATGAATAACTAAAATAGCAAACCAGGGATTAAAAGAGCTGTGTCTTCACAGGTCCATATTCAAAATGCCACCCTGGCCGGAGGTGTGGCTGTAGGAACTTCTGCTGAAATGATGCTGACCCCATACGGTGCCCTCATTGTGGGCTTCATCTGTGGCATCGTGACGACCATTGGATATGTCTACATCACAGTAAGAGCCTTTCTGAATGCAACAAAAGCTTTCCCCAGGCTTGATGGCAGGACCAAACAGTGAAAAATTGGAAATGTTACTTCTTTACGTTGCAATAGGTTGTAGCTGTTTCCTCTTTGTAATGCTCATGTTTTGTCCTTCCTTCCTCTCTTCTAGCCTTTCCTGGATGCTAAGCTCCATATCCAAGACACCTGCGGTATCCACAACCTTCACGGAATGCCAGGTTTAATTGGAGGCATTGTGGGGGCCGTCACTGCTGCTGCGGCTACAGAAGGAGTCTACGGAAAGAAAGGGTGAGGTGCTTTGGGACGTCTGTGTAGGGCGTCACACTTTTTGATTTGGTTCCCCTTTCTTTGGAGAGGAAGAAAGGACTGCGTAAGACAGAATCATGGGTTGCCTGGCTGATATGTTGACTAAGCCCCAGGAGCTTTTGTTTTGATCTGCAGATGCATTTGCACTCATTTATGAGAACTTTGCAAGTTGTTGAACTTTGAAATTACAGGTAGGGTTGGATTGCAAGCAGCCCAGGTTCGAATCTCAGAAGGGTATGGCTGGCTGATGAGAGCTAAGTAGCTCAAAATAGCTATACCAGTCTCCCTTTAACTCTTCGTTAGCAATCCAAATTTAACAAGGTTAACTCAGTCTTCCATCCTTCCGAGGTTGATAAAATGAGGATCCAGATTGTTGGGGGCAAGATGCTGACTCTGTAAACCGCTTGGAGAAGGCTGTAAAGCACTGTGAAGCGGTATATAAGTCCAAGTGCTATTGCTATTGCTATTGAGGGAAAGCAAGACAAATGGTGATGAACCAAAAAAATAACTTGGGACTACAACTGTCCTTCCCTTTTCAACTTCACTTCATTCTCACAGGCTCACCAACATGTTTGACTTCACTGGAGAATACCAGGATCGAACGCCTAGCATTCAAGGAGGATTCCAAGCGGCTGGCATCGCAGTATCACTAGCTATGGCTCTGGTGGGAGGAGCTATTGTAGGTAAGTGGAAGATCATTACAGAGAGATCTAAGGCGAAATTTCCTGACCGTGAGAACAATTAACCAGTGGACGGGCTTTTCTTCTGGAAGTTGTGGTGTTCCAACACTGGAAATTTTTCAAGAAGAGATTGGACAACCATTTGTCTGTAATGGTACAGGATTTCCTGGATTGGACAAGAAGACCTCCAAGGTCCCTTCCAACTCTTATTCTGTATTCTGATGTCACCCTTTTTGTATGTTCTCTGCTGCTTGAAGGTAAAAATCGATGAGAGTCTTTCTCTGGCTCACGTAATTCGAGGCAAAGCCAAGATTTAAATTAGATGAAAACTAATCAAGGAGAGAAGCAACCTAGAACTAAGGAGAATTTTCTTGACAGTGAGAACAATTAATCAGTGGACGGGCTTTTCTTCTGGAAGTTGTGGTGTTCCAACACTGGAAATTTTTTCAAGAAGAGATTGGACAACCATTTGTCTGTAAGGGTACAGGATTTCCTGGATTGGACAAGAAGACTTCCAAGGTCCCTTCCAACTCTTATTCTGTATTCTGATGTCACCCTTTTTGTATTTTCTCTGCTGCTTGAAGGTAAAAATCGATGAGAGTCTTTCTCTGGCTCATGTAATTCAAGGCAAAGCCAAGATTTAAATTAGATGAAAACTAATCAAGAAAATATTGGACAGTCATTTATCCAGAATGGTGCAGGGTCTACCTGCTTGAGTAGGGGTTGAGCTAGGAGACCTTCAAGGTCCCTTCCAACCCTATTATTCTATGTTCTAAGTGAAAAATCCTCATGCAGATGCAGAACAGCTGTTTTTTCTTAACTGTGCCAGCAAGAGGTGAAATCTCTGCCTATTTATCTCTAATTTTCTATGAACCAATCCAGTGGCTATGGACCTCTCGTCTCTGATGTTTGCCTGCTGCCATCTCCTGGCTTGTTAAGCTTTAATTAAAAAAAAAACAGAAAAGTAAAATCGTATTCCATCTGAGCTCAATTTTTGTTGACTGACATGGAAAATTCCTGCCTCTTTCTTGGGATTATATGAAGTATTTCTTTCATGTTCTCAGCTCTTACAACAGGGGTGTCAAACTCAATTTCATTGAGGACCGCATCAGCATTGCGGTTGCCCTGGGGGGCGGCAGCCAGGGTGGGTGTGGCCTACTGGGTGGGTGTGGGCGGAGTGGGTGTGGCCTACTGGGTGGGCAGGAGTGGGACAGATCTGAGGGTCTCTGGCAGAAGGGGGTGGGACCGGGGCAAGCGCCAAGGCATGGTCCATTTCTTCATTTCTCACAATGGGTGACCCCTCCCCAGCATGCACCCAGGGTGCAGGGCCGACACAGCAGGGGCTGGTTCCTCGCTGTTTCTGGATGGCCTTGTGGAGCTAAGACTGAATGCATTTCAGCATAGATGGCCACCGCAAAATTGTACATTGGCTCCCGGCCAGCCGGCCTGGGCCAGGGCCAAGGCAGCAGGGGCCGTTCCCTCACTGTTTCCAGGATGGCTTCACGGACCACATGAAACCACTTTGCGGGCTGCATCCGAGCCTTGTGTTTGACATGTCTGTCTTACAAGGTTCGGATGTCAAACTTTAAGAGACGTATTTTTTTCCAGTTCTCACAAACTGCTGTGTATTTCTTGGCAGATGTTTTTCCCAACATATTTTTTTTTCTTTTGAGATTTGTGCCCTAGTACAGAGTGCTTTCTCAGTTGAAAAGAGAAGAAAATTTAAAAATTAAAATGCGCTGTAAGTGAATTGAGCATTCCATTTTTCTTTCCCAAAGGTGGCATTTTGAAACTGCCCTTCTTTGGTGACCCTACAGATGAAAACTGCTTTGAAGATAATGTCTACTGGGAAGTAAGTGGATTACCCCAGGATTAACTAAATTAATCCAGATTGTGGGAGAAACTCCCGCTGTGGAGTCTGCACCGATGATTTATTCCATGGTCCTGGAAGTAGGTCCGACTGAAAGCAAAGGAATGTGTATTTCAGTAAGCATGAAGCCATTCTGAGGTGAAAGCTGCTTTCCAGTTTTTGGGTTTTTTTATTGAAAATTTTTACAGTTTTACAATAAAATAATCCCCCTCTCCCACCCCCCCCCTCCCACCCATCATCCTCCCCCCTTTTCCCGAGGACATTGACAGATCATAGTCCGGTATGGATGGAGCTGGCCATGGAAAAAGAGGAGAGAAGATCTTGGAGGTTGAATGAAAATTTATTTAGACAAGAGATGAATGTTCAGAAACTTAAGGAGTATTTAAAGGAATATTTTATTTTAAATATGTATAAGGGAACTTCAATGGCAATGGTTTGGGATGCCAGCAAGGCTTATATGCGTGGGGTTTTGATTCAAATGAACAAGGCTTATAGGCAAAAACGGATGCAAAAGGTTTTTTAGCGTGGGTCTTCTCTGATGGAGAAAGTGAACATGACATTTTCAGGATTGTTATACCCCAAACACATACCTCAGTGTGGCATGCACAGTTTGCCTTCCTCCTAATTTCCACAGGACCAGCCCTGTGAGGTAGGCTGGATTGAGAGATCACAACCGGCCCCAGATCCCCAGGTTGCATCCATGGGTGGATTGGAACCGGGGTTTCCCCACACTGGCTCTCTTTCAGAACAGGAAGAAAGGTAAAATCCAGTCCAAATTTCTAATAAATAAATAAATTTGAAAGCATTTGTGACCCATAGTTCAGGTTGAGGACTATTTTTGATATGGTAACTTGAAAAACCCGGTTTATCCTCACCATCCCTCAAGAACATAGCATAAGAATACTCCCTCTCGTGCATTAGTGCCAACGTATTGGAATTTCATTTCTCTCTCTTGTTTGTTGATGGCCTCTTGTCTTGAGATCAGTATGGCCAAACCTGGCCCTCTAATTGTGCATTTTATTATTTTTGGGGAGTAGAACTTATATCCAAGTGTTTCAAAGTGCTTGAATTTTGTTATTCTGGATGTAAAACAATACAGTATATATTACATACTGTATGTCAGATAAATATATGGGGGCAGAGACAGAAAGAGAAATTATCTATCTATCTATCTATCTATCTATCTATCTATCTATCTATCTATCTATCTATCTATCTATCTATCTATCTGATATACTGCATGAGGATATTCTGCCACTAGGTGACACTGCTGCCTGCCATATATCAAGCTGGTGGCTTACCAGCTTTGCCCAACATAATGCCCTCCAGGTGTGTTCTAACTCCCATCACTCTCAGCCACCAAGCTGTGTACCACAGACACTGTAGTCCCCATCTCTTGACAGTGCTGTGCCTTCAGAGGCATAAAAGCAACTGATGCAAGAAGAGGGATTAAAAACAACAAAAAAGTGGCGATTCTGACTTAGCCTGCATTCTGTCATTCTTCCAAAGGTCCCTGGCGACGAAGAGAGCAGCCTTTACTGCATGCATGACTCCAATGCTAAGCCTGTGATTAACCCTTAACCCGTGACATCAATAGATGAAGGGTAAGACAGCTGACTCTTTTATATGACGGTTTATTTCTTTTTTTTTTTTTTAATATTACAGGTTCTCCAAGGGCATTAAAGTCCAAATGAAACCAGTGCACAAATATCTTGCATCACTTGTCAAAAACTGGGCCTAAAGTCTGAGTTTTGTATGTTTTCAATGGGAAGGGAGCACTTTATTCATAAGGCAAGCTTCCAGCATCCTTCCTGGTGTTCTTTAGTGGCTGACTACTGATTTTCACAATGCCAACATCCAGCATGCGGTATTACAATCTTATGGGCCCCTCCCCACCCTTGTGAAAAAGGCTTCCATTTTTCTGCCTTATGCTCAGAGGGGTTCAAATGTTTTCCATCCTTCTGTAACCTTCTGGCTGCTCCCACTTACCAATCTGGAGAATCCCCATAGGAGACACCTGCTTAGAAGGCTTCGTCTCAGCATTTTGGTCGAAGCATACGGAATCAGAAAATTTGCAGCCAGAAAGCTATTTGCATGATCTCTTTGTTGACCTTACTGCTAAAACAAGGCAAGGACAAGACACTTTGACCATGAGAATTGCTGGCTGTGGGATTCTGGGAGTTGAAGTCCAAACTTCTTAAAGGTTAAGAAACACTGGGTTGTAGAATACAAAATACATGTCAGGTCCCAAGCTGGGGAAGGATACTATAAGCCAATAAGAAATCTTTCCAAGTGACACAGTTAGTAATAGGATTTCTCTCTTTCTCTTGTAGGGTGACCAACCTCTGCATTTGGAATTCCTTTTTTTTTTTTACAGCAGAATCATGGAAACTGAAGAAGGCAAAAATATTATCACTCAAATGAAGATATTTTTTTTAAACATGAACTCTGGCAAAAATTATGCAAACCAATAATAAGCAAGTTGAGAATCCCCAGACTGAGAAGCATATTGCTAAGAACCAAAAGAAGTTTTGAAAAAAAAATGCCCTAGAAATAATAAGCATTAACATTTTAGAGCTTATTGATAAATAAAAAATGAGCCGGGGCATTCCCCCTAGAGTTCTTCAAATGAAATCGCTGAAGTTTTAGCAAACGCATAAAACTTTCCCTAAAATTGGCTGTTTTTTTTAAAGGCTTGGACATTAGTTTTCAAATAATAATAATAATAATAATAATAATAATAATAATAATAAGGAAGGAAGGAAGGCAAAGGAAGGTTCTTTTAAAAAGAAGCTAAAATTTACAGCTCCCATTCTAGGTAAATTTATGGAAAGCATTATGAAAGACAAAATGGCAAGCCATGTAGAAGAATGAATATGGCTTCTGTGCAGGAAAGTGTCACCTCCCCAATTTTTTAAGAATTTTTTAAAGTGTTCAACCTGACCTGGATGCTTTAGCCAACATCTTCCTCAGTCAACCTACCAACCTACCAATCAAGGGATAAGACCGTTCCTTTTATAGATGTAGCAAGACTGAGAAAGAAAGAATGAATATAATGCGAGTTTGGCAAAAGAGGGATGCCAGAAATAAGGTCATCCCCAAGATCTGTGGGGAAATTGTGCCCTTTTAATAAAGTAGTTCCAAAATGATCTAGTGATGAGCAGCATAGAGCATCAAAGTGGTTGAATTTACAGATGATTCCAGATTGTTCTGGAATAATCTGAGGAAAAGTGTCAACCGGCCCTCGAAGGGTTCCCAAGTGAGATAGATGGAAGAGTTTTGTTACAGATCTTGGGGTGGCTGTCCACAGTCTGATGAACATCTTGACCCACTCAATGGGACACCAAGCTTCATCAAATCAATTAAAGGCCTTGAGGCGGCAACACATGACTCTGATTTCCTCAATCTGTAAATGTTGTAAGTAAAGACATTTTTACAAAAAGCGACCAATGTTTGCCATGTTTTATCTTCCACGGAGACTGCTTCTTAGAATATTGAATATCAGAGTTGGAAGGGACCTTGGAGGTCTTCTAGTCCAACCCCCCGCTTAAGCAGGAGACCCTATACTGGCTGTCCAGTCTCTTCTTAAAAGTCTCCAGTGATGGAGCGCCCACAATTTCTGGGGATAAGCTGTTCCGCTGGTTGATTGTTCTCACTGTCAGGAAATTTCTCCTTAATCTAATCTCTTTGATTAGTTTCCATCTGTTGTTTCTTGTCCTGCCCTCACGTGCTTTGAAGAATAAGTTGTCCCTCTCTCCCTTATGGCAGTCCTTCAAATATTGAAAAACTGCTATCATGTCCCCCTGATCCTTCTTTTTTTTTAACCATACCCAATTCCTGCAACTGTCCTTCATGTTTTAGCCTTCAGGCCCCTAAACATCTTTGTTGGTCTTGTCTGCACTTTTTCCAAAGTCTCAAAGCCAATAACGTGGTGACCCAAACCGGATGCAGTATTCCAGGTGTGGCCTTGCTAAAGCTTTATCTCCTGCTTCTTCATTGGACAGTGGCCACCAAACAAAACTTAACAATGACATACAGAAGTCATGCTGGGTAATAAAAAAACTTGTCTGGGGTTTGATGTGTTGTGGGAAATGAAATGCTGCAAGAACCATAATGGTTGCCTTAGCACAGGGTCTGAATCCAGCTACATCTTTTGTAAGGCCTTTTTCCAGCAACGCAAATGTTCACATTCCTAGTGATGCTTATGACTTAATGCTTCTCAACTGCACAAATTTTCCTAAGGAAGGGCACTGATTTTCTCCCATATTAGGGCTTGCTTGCACATTTTAAAAGAATTGTATATTGAAGCTCCTCTCTCTCTCTCTCTCTCTCTCTCTCTCTCTTTCTCTCTCTCTCTCTTTCTTTCTTTCTTTCTTTCTTTCTTTCTTTCTTTCTTTCTTTCTTTCTTTCTTTCTTTCTTTCTTAACGGCTGCTCTCAATGGTGTCTGCTTATATTCTCACACCCAAGGAACGAATTGGATGTAAGCCATTTGTGTGCCCTTGGGATACAACACCCTCATTTTCTATGCTGGAGAAAGAGGGGCCAGTGCACCCCCACCCCAAACCTGTCTCTCTTTATCACATGTTCCTGGAATTTGTCAGCAGCTGCCAGCAGCAGCATCTTAATTAACTGTCGGCAAAGATGGAAGCACATGAGACACCGTTCTAATTGGACTGCTGGCATTGTGGAAATGGGGAGGGAGTGGAAAGCAACAAAGGCAAAGGCTCCCGAGCTGGGAGTGTCCCCTCTGCGTAGCATGGGGAGGTGGGATGAAGGAGATCCGTCTGTCAAGATAAGTGAGGATTTGGCTTGGCTTGATCTGCAATCACTTTGATTTAAAGAAGGGGTGGAGAGAGAGAGAGAGAGAGAGAGAGAGAGAGAGAGAGAGAGAGAGAACAATGACCAGAAGTCTTGGTCAACAGTTCTTTTTCTTCTTCTAGGTTCTTTATCAAGGGTGATGCAGAAGTGGTGGTAGAGGGTAGAAAAATGAGTTGCTGAAGGATTCATCTGTTCTTGATTCTTGCTTTGCTAACTGCTTTGGAACATGTAGGATTCTCTCTCTCTCTCTCTTTCTCTCTCTCTCTCTCTCAATTTCTCTCTCTCTCTCTCTCTCTCTCCATCCATCCATCTCTCTCTCTCTTTCTCTCTCTCTCTCTCTCAATCTTTCTCTCTTTCGCTCTCTCTCCATCCATCTTCTCTCTCATTTTTCTCTCTCCATCTATCTTCTCTCTTTTTTCCTCTCTCCATCTATCTTCTCTCTCTCTCTCTCTCTCTCTCTCTCTCTCAATCTCTCTCTCTCAATCTTTCTCTCTTTCTCTCTCTCCACATCCATCTTCTCTCCCTTTTTTCTCTCTCCATCTATCTTTTCTTTTTTACCTCTCTCCATCTATCTTCTCTCTCTCAATCTTTCTTTCTCTCTCTCTCCATCCATCTTCTCTCTCTCTCTCTCTCTCTCTCATCCAAATGTTAGAGTAGGCACAGTGGCAGCATCATTCAAGGAGGACCCTTTCCATTATCAGCAACATTTTTTTCTTTGCCTTAAGCAGCAAAACATATTGCCCCATCCTTTTCCAAGGAGTTTTAATCTCAGGGAAATTAGTAGGATGGCAGCTAAATGGTGTTAAGGAAGCCAAATACAGTTTGAGGAAACCCTTGGTAAAGTGTCCATCTGGGGTTTTTATTGCACAGAGAAATAATAGTCAGAGTTCTTGAAGAAGATATGCCTTGTAGCACAGTGAAAACACCCATGTAATTATTATTATTATTATTATTATTATTATTATTATTATTATTATTATTATTATTTTAAAAAGAGGTTTTGATATCCACTCTTATTTTTCCCACAAGCTTCTCCAGCTAACTTTGCATCTAGAGAGTGGTGGGAAAACCAAAATTGCTTCCAGTTGAATACTGATGCTATTTATTTATTGAACTTTGGTAGGCTATGACACTCCCTTAGTTTAGTCTAGGTCCAAAATCCAATTGGAATGGAATAGACGGGCCATATTCCAATTGCTTTGCTTTTGCAGGTAGCTAAAGAATCCATTTTTAAAGGTCAACCCATGAAAAATGCAGCATAGTCCTTGAATCCAAGTATGAGCTTATTCTTACTTTATTTGTATTCCTTTCACTCTTTGATGCTATCTATAGATGAATTTTAAATCACACTTCACTTTGTACTTGCTTCACTGGCTCTATCTATCTGCACGTCTGTCTGTGGTCCCTGTTTCACTATATTCACTGCACAGGTTATATTTTGAATAGGTCACCTCTGTCTATCTGCATGTGTCTTCACAAATGTGATTCTAGGCAGCCACACCTTCAATATCTACAAGAACGTCTTATGAAATGCTGCTTGTCTATCCAGGCTTGCAGTTCCACAGCACATTTGGTGCTTTAGATTCATAGTTTCATCCTTGAAATTTTGTATGGTATGTGTTACTGTCAGGAAGGGCATATGTTTGCATAACTGTATTTTAACAGACTAACAAGAGTTGGAATGGACCTTGGAGGTCTTCTAGTCCAACCCCCAGCTCAGAGAGGAAACCCTATACCATTTCAGACAAATGGCTGTCCAGTCTCTGCTTAAAAACTTCCAGTGTTGGAGCATTCACCGCTTCTGGAGGCAGGTTGTTCCACTGGTTAATTGTTCTCACTGTCAGGAAGTTTCTCCTTAGTTCCAGGTTGCTTCTCTCCTTGATTAGTTTCCATCTGTTGCTTCTTGTCCTGCCTTCAGGTGCTTTGGAGAATAGCTTGACTGCCTCTTCTTTGTGGCAACCTCTGAGATATTGGAACACTGCTATCGTGTCCCCCCTCATCCGTCTCTTCATTAAACTAGGCATACCCAATTCCAGCAACCATTCTTCATATTTTCATATAGTTATATGCCCTGCACAGGCCAGATTTACTTAGTACTCATACTTGAAGGTAGGGATGTATGCACTCTCCATCCAGAAGCCAAGTCCATTCCTAAGCACACATTAGCCACCATGCCTGTCACCATATCTGTGTCTGTGCTTGCCGATTTCCACGCGTATACGAAGCATTCCAGGATCTTCTGAAAGAATTCTAGGGGAAAAAAAATTGTAATCAGATTAAGGCAGCCTATCACTCTGAGCTCTTGAAAAGGACATAAGGTTTCTAATGTGCCTAGCCACAGTCTCACAAAACGTCCAAGTATCCCAGCGGGGGCCAAGCCCTCCGAAGCACAAGCAACAGAGGCCTGCTTTCCCCCCCCTCCTCTCCATCCCTTGTAATTATGTCAGTTTACTAGCCAAATTGTCTGCTTGAGTGGACACTGGGGTTCATCCATTCTTCTCCCAACTTGCTTTATTCATGTGGTACTATGAGAGAAGCATGGCGTTCTCAGGACTGGGGATGAAGCTGGTGTTTAAAGATGTGGCGAAGGAATTGTGAGGGTTTTCTTTTCCTCTGTAATGCATGGAGCATTTTAGTTGTTTAGTTATTTTTAATTGTTTCCCAGAAGTGATCCTCTCATGAGGTAAAGATAAGTAGCAGCCTTCTATAGAGTGATAGTGTAGTTTTATGTGGGCTGAGGGGGTTTGGGTTTCTTGGCTAAATTAGGACACAGAGTAGGGGAAACTGAGTTTATCTACTCCTCTTGTCCTGGCTTGTCTATTTGGGAGGGACAGAATTTGTCTACACCAGGGGTAGGTAACCTTGGCTCTTTTATGACTCGTGGACTTCAACTCCCAGAATTCCTGAGCCAGCGTGGCTCAGCTTGGAAACCTCCCTTTCCCCTCAGCATGGCTGGCTCAAGAATTCTGGGAGTTGAAGTCCACGAGCCATAAAAGAGCCAAGGTTGCCTACCCCTGGTCTACACCAATGTTTCTCAACCTCATCAGCTTTAGGATGTGTGGCCTTCCATTGTGCAGAATTCCTCAGCCAGCCTGCAAACAATGTCCCAAACAATTCCACAGCTGTGCTGTCCATGGTCCTGCTTGGCAACTGTTGTGAGCTCAGCGAATGGCAGGAATGATACTGAAGTAATGTTTAGTATAGTTTAGTGGCCATGAGCACTAATGGTATAATTCTTCACTTGTTTACTTGCGGCTCTGATCACAAATGTGTCGAGCACAGCTCTTTGCTTGGGAAGGTCATAAAAATATTTTTTCCGTTACCAAAATTCTTTTCAGCCAGTTCCAAAGGTGCTTTCTCAAAAGGCAACTGGACTTTCTTTGTTTTTCCTTGGTTTTTTGCTTCTCCTCCAAGATGCTTCTTCAGTTCTGACTGAATGGTGGGGGATAGAATTGAAGAAGCTTCTTGGAGGAGAAGTGAAATGTCTTCAAGGAAAAACGAAGTCCAGTTGCCTTTTGAAAAAGCACTTTTGGGACAGCCATGACCTGGATGACTGAGAATATCCTTAGACAATCCACTCATGGGTTTTCTTTCTGCTTGGAGTAAAACAGGTATCACAAACTGCAG